CGGTGACTAAGCTCGAAAAGGTTCGAAACACGGTAATCAAACATACCGTTACTTATGAGCCACTATTTTCTCAGATCGATCGAATGTGTTTTCTTGCGGAAGTTCATTTAAACAGCCTAAACAGGAGACCTTGTTTGTGGCTCATATCCATGACTCACGGTCATGTGTGAGCAGAGAGACGAAAATCCACTTGAACATGTACTATTTCATCTGTCGCTTAGTTGTGTCTGGGCCACAAAGCAGAGATGGTTTAAAGGAAAACTCTTAGCTTATTCCGATCCGTCAATAGATTTCTTCGTTCTGTCTTCCGTCGCTTGCAGTCCTTAGGATAGTTAGTGGGCAGACGATGAAATAGTGATGAGAGGTTCGGCTTTGAACTCCGGTGGTGTCGAGTTCGAATCCGCTCAAGGGACAATTTTTGTCTTATCCGCGAACTCTCTTGATTAATCCGATGTGGCGTCAGCATAATCAGCCGAGAAATGGGTTGTCAGTCAGTGACTTGTGAATAACAGGGACAGACTGTTTTTCTGGTCTGATAATACGAGAATGGACTAAGTGTAGGGCTATGCTGTCCAATGCGAGCCAATGTGAGCACCAATCGAGGTTACATTTCTCCTTGGCCCACCTGGTAAGTAATTTTCCAACTGATTATCATAATTAGCACAAGATGTAACCCCGATTTCTACTGATTTGAATTTTAGAACTACTGAGGTACAGGGCTTGAACATAACATAATCTATTAGGCGTTAATCTGAGGAATTCGCCCATTTGTTTCAGCGCTACAAGCCTGACAAGAGAAAGCAAGAGGATAACTTGTGAAAGATGTGGGCAGCAAAGAAGAAAGATTTTGGTGTGATCATACCAAAATGGTAGAGCGCTACGGACATGCCGTCTGATATGAGTATCTCTTAGGACTGCAATTCAAGTTGGCTTGATCCACCTGAGAGCTGACTATGCAGAGTGATAATCGGCACAAAGCGTAAACCCGAAAACATATGACGCGGGAGTACATGAACGCTATAATTTATAATTTTCATTCACCTATCGTTGGTTTGCACAAATGCTGTCGTACCGAATGATTATACAAGTTTTTACACTGTTTTATGTACAACCTAACACCACTACTTTGCATCCAGATGCATGACGGACATTTAAGCAGATCACGGCTTAACTCTTCTGTAAATGCAATACCGCATGGCACAAGAGACGTGCTGTCTTTTTATCTGCTTCAGTGACGCTCCATCAGAATCCAGAGCACACCAGACAGGGAATCGAGAAAGTACCGATGGCTTGAATCATAAGGGAAACACAACGAACTTCGGCGGAAACACATGAGAAGCACCCTGACTTTGGCCGTTAACTCATGCAAACGTTCTGCTATCAACTCAGGCCATTTGAATGGCTTGCAACTGCTTGTTGTCAACGCTATGCACATGTTCACATAAGTACTCCTACACGCTGTGACCGGAAAGTCTACCGTACGCTTCTTCCAATTCGACAGAACACATGAACGTTGAGCAAACTCTTGAGCTAAAAGTACGACTCAGCAAGGCCCAGATCAGTATGAAAATTAAAGAAAGTCCAAAAACATGAGTTACGGTTGTATTCAAGTTGCTTGGTTTTGAACCAAAGTATGCCTGTCGTAAAACTACTTCATAAACTTATAACTGAATGGTGCCTGGAGATGTGCAAGCACACAAAGTTTGAAAAATTACCCTTATCATAGTCATCAGCCATCATCAGTCGTTGGAGTTCTTCTGATGACCTTGAAAGGATCAGAGTATCGTCCGCAAAATAATAACTTTTTATCTTCAGCCTCCGATTATTTCAACAGAGTGTTTTGAAAACTTCTTCTAGGGCTGAGGTAAATAACTTCGGTGTTTTTGTACTATCAGACGCCATTTTTCGATTTTGAACTTCTTTTGCTGTTCAGATTAGTAATTGCGTTCTTTTAAATCATGATGACGTGGTGTCCTTTTCTATCCTCGATTCTCAGGGAACCATTACAGAACGGATGTAGTCTGAGTTGAAAGCCGTCTCGAAATCGGGCAGAGAGGAAGCTGACATTCGTTGCTTGCGTGAATTACCGAATAGAATTACTTGCTGTACCAATACCACCTGAAGACGATCCATTGCATTAAATTCATCTCTACATCCTACGTGATCCTTTCGCTACGGAGCATAAAATTTTTCTTCCCGTCTGTTGGTCAGTACTTTCATAACGATCTTGCAGATGACTGAAAATAAATTGATCGTTCTGTTACCTTCAACTCTTCTCTGCCTCCCTATTTGTGCAGTAGAATCACCGATGAGATACTCCAATCGTTTGAAATATTCAATTAGTTCAGATAACGTGAATACGTGCGCTCTAATGTCTTGGTCAGT